TCCCTTTGGTTCAAGTTTGGAGAAAGATTTTTCAGGTAGAATTAGGGCAGATACTCGATTCCCAATTGGATAGAAATAGCTTAGCGGAAGCATTTGGTTTTTGAAGAGCTCGAAAGGAGACTTCTTTGATTTGTGGGCCGGAATTTGATTTAAGGTAAGAGCGCTAACCGTAGCTATTTCATTCCAATACTTCTTGCTGACCCTGGAGTCCTCTAAAATAGTCCTCCTAGATTCCAAGATTGTTCGGTTAAACCGCTCTGCCAGGCCATTCTGCTGGAGCATGTAAGCATCGGAGGTGCACTGTTTGATTAGATGATTCTCGCAGTATTCCATCAACGATGAGTTGATGAATTCTGAACCTCTATCAGAATGAATTGTGGAAGGATGATATCCAAAGCGTTTGGCTTCTACATCAATTAAGAAAGGAAATGTCACCATTACTTCACTCTTAGATTTGATGGGAATAGTGGCACAGAAGCGAGTACAACTGTCAACAAGAGTTAAGATGTATCTATGACCGAAGTTTGATGCTGGCCAGATAGGTCCGATCAGATCTAGATGGATTTCTTCAAAAGGTTTTGAGGCTGCAGCATGTTCAGACTTGTAAGAAGCTCTTGTGACCTTAGCCACTGCGCATGACTCGCAATCCTTGATAATTTTCAAAGGAATCCCGAGTTTCTTTCTTAGTCGATGATAGCTCACGTGTCCCAAGGATTTATGAATAAATTCTGCCGATGAGAGATGACTCAAAAATTTACAGTTCTCAAATTCAAGCGTAGGAAGATTCTTGACATAGTTGCCAGTCATCTTGATCTCGTTGTATTTTACAACTTCGAAAGAATTTTTGTAGAAATTTATGATGTATTCCTCTAAGACAAGACGGCGGACTGAGTTGAGATTGACAACAAGATTTGGAATGAACAGAACATGGTTAAGAAATATTTTGCTATGTTTGTTGGATAGTCAAATCAAACCAATTCCTTTTATCTGAAGGGTCTTGCTGTCCGAACTTGTTTGAACAAAGCCTAAGTCTTTGTGTTCTAAGGTGTGAAACAGTAGAGGATTTGACACCATATGAGCAGAACATCCCGAGTTGAGAATAAAACAGTGAGGAGATCCAGAGAGCGATGCATGGAAGCTACTAACAGTTGTTTCGACTTTTTGGGTCTTGTTTTGATGAGGAGGTCGGAGCTTGGGGTGAAGCATCCAACAGTTGGATTCAGAGTGCGGAGCAAGAGTGTTGTGAGCACCTCGCTTGCATTTCTTAGAGCTGTCGGTGAAGAGGGTGATTGGATCGGCGCGAGTTCCACTTCCACTGGCTCAAGTGTCTTGGTTATCGGCATGTAGACAAAGATGGTCTATGACAGTATCGATACTTATCTCCTTTCTGGAGTGAGTTATCATGTCGTAAATGGGATCCATCAAGGCAGGAAACTTGTCCATGACAAGATGTCCCAATCCATCAGCAGGTAAATCCCATCCAACCTCAAGAAGTCGTGCTTGAAAGGATTTCATGGAAGTGATGAATCCAGGAATATCGGATGGAGTGTACTGAGCTCGTAGAAACGATTTGAAGACTCTGGCCTTGTTAGAAGATTGAGTCGAGGCGAAGAAGGCAGTGATAGACTTCCAAATTGCTTTGGCACTGTCGGCGTTCTCAGAATTATAATGTTAGTCTGCACAGAGGAATCCAGTTTGGCAACAAGGATGGATTTGAGGAGTTTTTTATCCTCGGAAGGGAGTTCAACCTTGGAATCACCGACAACATGCTCTTTTAAGCCGACTAAGTCCAACAGATTAACGACGCGGATGCGCCACAAGGAGTAGTTGTCATTCTTCAGGAGGAGAATTCCCTCAATTGAAGTTTTCAGAACGGTGGAATTGACTTTGTCCATTGCGTTCGAGTAAGTAGTTGTAGGAGGCTTCTGTTTTTCTGTTTTCGCGACTGGTTTTGGATTATCCTCGTCGAGCATGAATTTGTTGTCTCCGTGGTGCAATTGGTTAGCGCGTTCGACTGTTAATCGTATACAAGCTAAGACTTAATTTCTGACACAGAAACCAGAGGCTAACAAAAAAGAGATCAGAAAAAAAAGAATGAGAAGAGAAAATGAAGAAAACAACACGCATACCCTGAGTGATTC